CCCCACACCTCTTCTTCAAAACAAAACTCCTTTTGAAATGTTTTTTGACAAAGCACCCAATCTCTCACATCTAAAGGTATTCGGCTGCCTTTGTTTTGCTTCTACATTGACTGCTCATAGACAGAAATTCGATTCCAGGGCCACAAAATGCATATTCTTGGGGTATCCTTCTGATTACAAGGGAAACAAACTTATGGACCTAAGTACCAATATGATACTTATTTCTAGGAATGTCACATTTCATGAAATGATTTTTCCTTTTAAACTCCTTCCTACAAACTCTGACACTCATACTTTTTTATTTCCTAATTCACATTATTTCCCTGATGCTTGCTCCTTCCCTTCACACTTACCTCTAAACCAAAACTCAGCCTCTATATCAACTAGTGCTCGCTCTTCCCCTGGGTTTAGTGCTCGCTCTTCCCCTGGTGAACCCACTACACATATTGAACAAATATTGTCTTCCTCATCCTCCTCGCCATACACTATTGCACCACAAAATCAGAATAATGAGACTGCCATACAAATTCAAAATATTGAGCCCCTCAGAATATCCAGCAGGATTAAACATACACCAGGTCATCTGCAGGAATATTATTGTGGTAATGTCTCTTCATCTCATTTTGCAACTCAGGCATCTACTCCAACTGATTGTCCATCACCTGCAGGTAATCTTTATCCTATTCACCATTTCCTTTCAACCAATAGGTTATCTGCATCCCATAAAGCTTTTTCGGCATCCATCACAACTTTCTTAGAGCCTAAGACATTCAAACAGGCTTCTCAATTGCCTGAATGGCAATCTGCCATGAAGAATGAAATTAATGCTTTGGAGTTAAATAAAACTTGGGAGCTTGTTACCCTTCCTGAAAATAAAGAAGCAATTGGCTGTAAGTGGGTATTCAAAATTAAATATAAGGCTGATGGAACCATAGAGCGACATAAAGCTAGATTGGTGGCAAAATGATACACTCAACAAGAGGGTTTAGATTTTTTTGATACTTTTTCCCCTGTAGCGAAAATCACTTCAATCAGACTTTTACTTGCTGTGGCTGCAATCCGACACTGGCATCTCCACCAATTAGATGTGAATAATGCATTTTTACATGGAGATTTACATGAAGAGGTGTACATGGAACTACCCCCTGGAATGACTGCAAGCGGTGACTGGATTGTGTGCAAACTTTTAAAGAGCTTATATGGTCTAAAACAAGCCTCAAGGCAATGGTTTGCTAAGCTGTCTAATGCTCTTCTTCACTTTGGTTTTGTTCAAGGTAATTCTGACTGCTCCTTATTCATTAAGAGATCTGAGTGCTCTTTCATTGCATTATTGGTTTATGTCGATGATTTGCTATTAGCAAGTGATAGCATTATTGAAATTCAGAGGTTGAAAACCTTTCTCCATGACAAGTTCACCATCAAGGATTTAGGATAGCTCAAATATTTTCTTGGTATAGAGGTTGCTCGGTCCAAAATTGGCATATCCTTGTGTCAACGAAAATATGCCCTTGACATTCTACAAGATTCTGGTTTAATTGGATCAAAGCCAGCCGCTTTCCCCATGGAATCCACTCTCAAGCTTTCTGCCACTGACAACCATTTGTATGACGACCCCTCTGGATATCGAAGACTTATTGGTAGATTGCTTTACTTAACTATCACAAGGCCAGACTTAGCTTATTCTGTCCTTAGTCAATTTCTTGCTGCTCCTGCTATTAGTCACCATCGAGCTGCGATTAGGGTGTTGCGCTATCTGAAAGCTACACCAGGGCAAGGTCTCTTCTTTCCCTCTTCTTCAGACTTACAGCTCAAAGCTTTCTCAGATAGTGACTGGGCTGGATGTGTAGACACTCGAAGAAGTGTCACTGGTTTTGCTATTTTCCTTGGCAACTCATTGATTTCATGGAAATCAAAGAAACAACTCACCATCAGTCGATCTTCAGCAGAGGCAGAATATCGGGCACTTGCAACTACTACTTGTGAGATTCAATGGCTTCTTTATGCCCTACAGGATTTGAACATCGACCATTAACAACCAACTTCCCTATATACAGACAGCAAATCAGCCTTATACATAGCCACTAATCCAGTTCAACACGAAAGGACAAAACACATTCAAATTGACTGCCACCTTGTTCGGGAAAAGTTACAACAGAATGTCATCAAACTTTTCCACATCCCATCACATCTTCAGCTTGCTGATATCTTCACAAAGCCCCTCGGATCTTTGTCTTTCCATCACACTCTTCGCAAGATGAACATTCTCAACACACATGCTCATCTTGAGGGGGGGTGTTGGAGTATTGAAACTTATATTGACAGCATGGAATTACAAAGAAAAGAAGAAAAATCAAGAATAGAAGAAAAGCCAGCTGGAAGAGATTGTTAGAATTAATTATTTTCTGTTATAGGAGTTAGTTCATTTCTTGTTGCTTTCAGTTCATATTGTTATATACACGAGCTATATAGGTAGATAGTGGCCTGCTGTAATGCGGGAGAGTGAATATTCAATAATACTAGTGGGAACTCTTCCCTCTCCCTGTGTCTCTCTTCTTCTCTTCTTTTTGCTGTAATTCAGTTTTCCATTTTTATTTTTATCACTAACAACAAAATCTAACAAAGCAATACAGTAAAGAGCAAAACTGCTAGGGGCGGGCGACGTCCTCTTCCTTAGGAAAGTAAAAAAAAAAAAAAAGACTTGTATTTTTGTTTCGACTCTTCAGACACAATTCAATTCACATTACAACACCAACAACAAATTAAACCGATGAGCTCCACTTCGACGCCTGAAAGTTGCCTAGTGCAAGCAATAGTAAGCAATCAAGCTATATTTTTGTTTCGCGTGGAAATCGAGCCTCGCTAACAATTAAAAGAAGGTTCTGACGATTGTGTAAGGAACAAACCTCTCGAGACAAAGTCCTAACGAGGGGTGCTTTATTTATGAAGATTACAATTTGGAAGAAGCGAAACGCCTCCAAAGGACACAAGCACACAAAGTAATTTGAAAGTTGACAAGAAGAACTAAAAGAAATGAAATTACATAATTCTCTGTTTGAGAGTGATTAATTCAGGATCCTTCCTTCTATGTCTTCTTTTCTCTTTTATACTCATTTGGCAGTTTCTCTTGTAAAATTGTTTGAAACTGCTCATCGCCCTATAATTACCCACTTTCTCCATAATGGCTGACTTGAAAAGGAACTACCGTTTTTAACTGCTGTCATTATTCCCCTCTTTTAACTGCTTGCAAACGGGATTCTTGGATCGTGCAATGTGATAAGATTGTCCATTAACAGTTTCAATAACTGCCGCTTTAAATAACAACAAGACAATATATTCGTTTGGATCTTGGGCGTCTCGAAAGCTTGGGCGAGAATGTGACCGTCGCTCTGAACGACAATAAGACACTACATTCGCTCAGATCCTGGGCGTCCTGCAGGCTTGGGCGACGATGGGCCTCCGCTATATTTGACATGGTCTCATTTGGGCATATCTCTCGAATTTTTTAACTGGACTCCATTTCCTAAACCATTTAATTGGGCCTCATTTTTGTATGTCAACAATTACCCCCCAATATGGAAAATTAATATCAATTATTAATCTTATGCCATATTTTTCCTTTATATTTTCCGCGATGCTTGAAATCCCAAAAAAGGAGGGAGAATCCCAATCATTATTTTCGTTTGGCGATGACCCTCTACGTCATGAAAAGTGCAATATCATTCAACTCCTATAAACCAAAGAACACGCCACTTCATCGCACCATTATACCCACATCTTACATCGCACGCTTCTTAACTTGATTTAATAATATTATATTATATTAGAATTAAATATTTAATAATAAATTGATTTAATAATTTATTATTTCATAAATAAAAATAAAAAAAATCTATTTTTAAAATTTGAAACTTATTTTCTTATTTTTGAAATGGCATAAACTTATCTTCTTATTTGTGAAATTTTCCCCCCAAGTAATATGTGCTGGCTGGGATTTAGCAATTTCAACTGACTCAGGCAAATTAATATTTTAATAAATATAATAACTAATTGACTCAGAGAAATTAATATTTAATAAATAAAATAACTAAACTTTGTTCTCTTATGTATGTTGAAAGCGACAAATCTTTTGAAAGTTGGATAAATTCTCAAATTACCCGACTTGACTAGCATTGATTCTCAAGTTATTTTCAATAGCATAACGATTTATAAAGACACTCTTGAGACTGTTTAACAATAGTTGAACGAGTACAAATTAATCGAATAAAAAAGATATAAACACAACGTTGTATATGGCACAATAGCCCGTTCCGGGGTTGATCCATAAATAAAAAGACGTTGAACTCGGTTAGTCAGTTTGACAACTCGTGAGGACTAATCCAATTGACCTGATTATTATAAAAATAAAAATAAAAATAAAAAGAGTTGTTAATATCTATTTACCTTCCTAACACAACGACTCTTTCTTTCCAAATTCTAATTTTATTTTATTTATCTTTTTCAATGATCAATTTTTGGCTAAAAAAATACTTATTTTTCTACGTTTTACACACAATCTCCCATCTCTCAAACAACAATACCTAATTTTTCCGATTATTGCTTATTTTAAATCACGTCAATTTCTCTAAAACGACCAATGATGGAATGTCCAGTCCTAGTTCTAGTCCTAGTCCAAACAATATTTTTAGATGGTCCAATTCAAGCCTGGTTACGCTCGGGTCTGGCCCACTCATATTGACGTTCAACCAAAAAGTTTTAACTAAATTTTCATTTGAGAATCTCTAGAGGGTCAAACCCAGTTGGAATAAGTTGGGGGTTTAATTAGGTTGCATATTCTTGCTTCATTGGGTATGTTATTCAATGCTGCAAATAAATAACATTCAAAAGAAAAGGATAAACCCCTTTTAGCCTTTTGGAATATCGCCTTTCTTCTTCTTTAAAAGCTACATTAATTCCTACCAAAAAATCCATTCTTCCATTCACCGCATCATCTACGTATCTTCATGGCAGCTCTTAACTTACCAGAACAAGATGGTATGCATGTGTTCGGTGGTCGGGAGTGACCGTCCTCGCAACATTTTCAACTTTTTCTCAATTTATACTGAATTTTTTTCCTTCTAATTCTAATAATCCCTTTTTTGTTTATGTTTTTTGGTACTTAATTAGGGGTCTCGAGGTCAATATCAGATACATCACCTACTCACTATACGATGAAAATTCAATTATTTTCGCAACTTGCAAAGAATAAAATCGAGCCGTACCATTCCAATGATTTCAAGGCTGGAGGCTACAAATGGTATGATACTTATGTACGGATATATGTACATATTTCATGTACTTAATTATTATTACTTAGAGTTGAAATTTAAATGTGAAGTTAATGTTTTGTGTTAATTTAAAGGAAGTTGTTGGTTTACCCTAATGGAAACAAAGACAAAGGTATTACGGATCACATTTCTGCGTACTTGGTGATGACACAAGTAGAGTCATTACCTCCTGATTGGAAGGTTCGCGCAACTTTTCGATTATTTTTGCTTGATCAGAACGAAGACCATTATTTCACACTCGAAGGTATGGCTGCCTACCTACCTACCTACTTATCAAATTGGAAATTAATTGAAAAGGATTTAATTAATTGCCTAATTATCGGATTAATAAGACTTGGCGGGGAAACGGTTTAATAGAATGAAGCTCCAGTGGGGTTTCGATAAATTTATACCTCTCAGCATCTTCAATGATCCCCAAGAGGGATATTTGGTGAATGATACTTGCGTGTTCGGAGCTGATGTTTATGTTGCTGGAAAAGGAGAGATTTTATCAATGACAAGGGATGCCATTAGCTCCAAACACACTTGGAATATCTACATGTTCTCTACTCTAACCAACAAATGTCTAGAATCCGAACCCTTCAATGCTGCCCATCAAACATGGTATACATCTTTTATGGTCGAACTCCAACTCATCTCGACTATTTTCTGAATAATGCTATTTACAGCAGTCGTCCTATATGACACACACATGTCAAGTGTGTATTTAATGCATTAATGTGGTAAAAAAAATTACCCTATTAATGCATCAAATAACTACATGTCATGTGTGCGTCACGTAGGGCGACTACTGCAGCGAGCGACTGCAACTAACATTACTCTTATTTTCTATATGCGGAACAATTAATACTCATGGCCTGGGTGGATGCAGGAAGATACAGTTATATCCAAAAGGGAAAGACAGTGAATCAAGTAACTTCATATCGTTATATCTGGCATTGGCTGAGCCGGAAAAACTTTCTCCTCTAACTAAAATATATGCAGAATTCACCTTACGTATATTAGACAGAAGTACCTATTATAAATATAAAACTCATCTCTTTGCTACAGGTAAATTCTTGTATTAAATAAGTTACTATACAAATATTTGTATGGATAGAAATTAATTCAACTTTTGATAAAAATTTCAGGTAAACACTGGTTTACTGCAACAAATTGTGTAAGTGGTTGGTCAAGATTTGTGTCGGTGGGAAACTTTGAAGCGGATCGTTACTTGTTGTATGACAACTGCGGTGTTGAAGCAGAGGTCACTGTCCATGGCGTGGTTAATGCACTTTGAGAAATGCTATATAACAATGTCGAAAAAGCCTCCGATGTGAATATTTTATTGTAATTGTGCGATATTGTGAACAAGTAATATAATGGATTTCATGGTCCGAATTATTGTTTCCACAAAAATTATTATTTAACCGTTAGGTTGTCTATTCTTAATCCCTACTTGAATGAAATAAATTAAACATGACTCGACTAAGTTCCTAAATACCTAAATATATTAATTCTAATTAACTTAAATTAGGGTTTTTTTAAGTATGAAAGGAGAACGTTAAGCTAGCAACTTTACCGTGGTTATTCTTATCACCTATGCATGCGGCCAAGTCAATTCACCATATCCTTTGTGTGAAGTTGAATAAGCCTGAACTAGACTTAACGCATTCAAGTTTCTAAAAGTTCAATTAATGACCACGGCAATATACATATTTACATATGATGTGGAAAGAAAAATATAAGAAAAGAATTGAGTATATCATTGAGTTTTGAAATAAAGATGAAGAAAAGTCGACGTTCTTACACCAAGAAACACCTAAAAAACTCTAGTTTCTTCAATTTTTCCTTGGTTTCTTCTATCTAGATCTTGAATTACGCATGCCTCCATGGGGGCGGATGTAGGGCCCATTTAGGTTTTTAGGTGTTAATTTTTATTTTATTTTATTTTTTAATGTAAAACCAATTTTTTATGTGCAATTTTTTTTTTTTCATTAGTCCGGCTTGAAATGTTTTGTAGTCCGATATTGAATTCAGTCTCAGACTCTTGGATCCACCGACATGATAAAAAGATACTCCAATTTTGATTGAGACCACGTTGCTTTTATTAAATTTTTTAAAATAATTCCAATCATGACGTGTCACATGGAGTTAAAAGGAAAACAATTGATAAATAAAATGTCTTCCATTTGATGTATATATTAGGAAAAGGAAAGAGAACGATATTTTAAGATGGAGTAATGTTATTCATGCCCAGTGGGGATGAAAATACAGTCTAGGTGGCTGTAAATGATAGGTGAAATGAAAGGTGAAATTAAATGACTTATTTAATTTCACCTATCATTTAATGTCATATTAGTGCCACCTAAAATGTGTTTTCATCCACAGTGGGGATGAATAGCATTACTCTTTAAGATGAGATCAATTGCATATATCATATAATATGACATGTATCCTTCTAACCCAACACAAATCTCAATAGAACGGAAAATGTCAGATAAATTTTATTTGCAACAAATGAAGTTTCAATGACATTTCGATCCTCGAACTTCAACTTAACTTTAATTGTTATTGGATTTCAATTTTTTTAACATAATCGTTGCATGACATGTTAGTTGACGCTTTGCCATGCTTTTTAATATAAAAACATGATCATAATCTTCATTTGACCTTTTTCGTTTTTAGGGTGTATGTAACGATTATGAAAGATCTGTCAGCTAAATAATTTTATCAATTTGTGGGATGTGGACGATAGTTGATGGATGTGACGATGTTGTAAAATTAAAAAAAAAAAATTTTAAAAATTGGACAAATTAATTTTGGTTGCTTAATTACAGATTTTCTTTTCCAAATAAGAAAATGATTATTTTCGTAGTTGAAAAGTCAAACTTAAATGACAGGGTGGCGAATGACCCGACGGTGGAACCGCGTTTATGCTGTCCACCGCTTCATCCGAAGGTCCATACTCAGTTGCCAACCAATGTAAACCCTGTATCTAAATCCCAACCGCCCACCCCATGAATCTAGCCGTAATACCATCCAAATGGCCACTTTGACACTCTAATCACTTCCTCTATATATTTGTCATGTTGGTCACTCACATTTCAGCACTCTTTCTCCATCTTTACTCTCTATCTGCTACAAGTTTGAGGTTAGTCCTTCTCTCTATGTGTATGTATATATTTCTTCTTTGACTGTTCTTGAATTGTCTATAAGAAATGGGTTTTGTGTATTCTTGCTGAGTCAGTATGATATTGTAGTTTTGAGATTAGTACTTGTTGTTGTTAATTGTTATGATGAATTCTTGAACCCATATACTCGTTGGTGGATAGATCTGTAATTATGTCGTGTAGTTCTATTTATGCTTTTTATTGAGAGAGAAATTTTTTTTGTTGGGCTACACAGAGATGGAGACTTTCTTGTTCACATCTGAATCAGTTAACGAGGGACACCCCGATAAGCTCTGCGATCAAATCTCTGATGCAGTGCTCGACGCCTGCCTTGCTCAGGACCCTGAGAGCAAGGTGGCTTGTGAGACCTGTACCAAGACCAACATGGTCATGGTCTTTGGTGAGATCACTACCAAGGCCAATGTAGACTATGAGAAGATTGTGCGCGATACTTGTCGATTGATTGGATTTGTATCTGATGATGTGGGATTAGACGCTGATAACTGCAAGGTCCTTGTTAACATTGAGCAGCAGAGCCCTGATATTGCTCAGGGTGTTCATGGCCACCTCACTAAGCGACCAGAGGAGATTGGTGCTGGTGATCAAGGCCATATGTTTGGGTATGCAACTGATGAGACACCTGAATTGATGCCTCTAAGTCATGTTCTTGCAACGAAGCTTGGTGCTCGTCTCACTGAGGTTCGCAAGAACGGTACTTGCCCGTGGCTGAGGCCTGATGGCAAAACACAAGTCACTGTTGAATACTATAATGACAAGGGAGCAATGGTTCCTGTCCGTGTGCACACTGTTTTGATCTCAACACAGCACGATGAGACTGTTACCAATGATGAGATTGCGGCTGATTTGAAGGAGCATGTCATTAAGCCTGTTATCCCTGAAAAGTACCTCGATGAGAAGACCATTTTTCACCTCAATCCGTCCGGTCGTTTTGTCATTGGTGGACCTCATGGTGATGCTGGTCTTACCGGTCGAAAGATTATCATCGACACTTATGGAGGATGGGGTGCTCATGGAGGTGGTGCCTTCTCAGGGAAGGATCCGACCAAGGTGGACCGAAGTGGTGCTTACATTGTTAGACAGGCTGCAAAGAGCATTGTGGCTAGTGGACTTGCTCGAAGGTGCATTGTGCAGGTCTCGTACGCCATTGGTGTTCCCGAGCCCCTGTCGGTATTTGTGGACACGTATGGAACTGGAAGCATCCCTGACAAGGAAATTCTTGAGATCGTGAAGGAGAATTTTGATTTCAGGCCGGGTATGATTGCCATTAACCTGGATCTTAAGAGGGGTGGCAACAAAAGGTTCTTGAAGACTGCTGCTTATGGGCATTTTGGGAGAGATGATACTGATTTCACTTGGGAAGTTGCTAAATCTCTCAAAAAGGAGAAGGGTGAAGCTTAATAGCTATCTCTATTCTGATACATATAATTTTGGCTTGATTTTTCTCTATACTGAGATTATAGCCTTGCATTTTGCTTATTTGTTGAGTTTAAATCTATTACTGATGTCGCGTTGTGAAATCGCCAATTGCAGATTGAATACCAACAAAATGATATGATATTCGTTTTAGATTTCGAGCTCCTTGTTCCATGATGTTTAATTGTTTCTTGATTCAGTATGAAATCAACAAAATTCCCTCATATTTTCTTCTCATTGGCACCGAAAAGTTGACAGCAAAAGAAACAATTTGACGTAGTACAAATCAGACCACACATTGTTTTCACTTTAGATTATCTCAAATGATTGTGAGACCCACTCAAACAGAGGATAATTATTTTACATAAACACAATTACAACGGTCCAACAGCAAAGAAAATTGGTCGACTGTGCCCACCATTATATACTAGAGAAACACGAGAAAAGCTTTAACAACGCAGTCTATATGCACGTGTGGTAAAATCGTCTATCAAAATCATGACATCTTAGACCTTGAGTCACTCAAATTGTGACTGTGCTGGTAAGAGAAAAACAGAGTACGTGCAATGTCTCGTCATTTGAATGGACAGTCCTATTACGTGTATATAAAATCGACCGAAACTTCTCCCGAGAAACACAAGTTTTCGTTGATGACATCATTCTGAACTCTAATTTATTTGAAAGAAAGAATATAAGATATAGATGAATACCGAGTGTATTCAGATTGCTTGGAAAGATAAGTGGAGATATTATCATCCTCATTCAAGGTTGGTGATGAGATGCAATGAACTCAAAGCTTGAAACGAAAATCTTCAAACAAGTTGCGAGGAAGAGCCTTAGTAGTACGTCAGCAATTTGCTTGGACGTTGATAAATGGTTCACTGTGAGAGCACAAGGAACAACTTTTTCTCGAGTGAAGTGGTTGTCAAGCTCAATATGTTCAGTTCTAGCAAGGAATACCGGGTTATGAGACACGTAAATTGCATTTTTATTGCCACAAAGCAACAGTGGTTGTCATTGAAGATTGATGCTGAGGTCAGGGAAATGATATTGAAGCCAAGTTAATTTCAGCAGCAGTGGTAGCTAGAGGACCTGTGCTCTGCTTGGATCGGGAGATGGTTGGTTGTTTTTTCAATTCCTCAAAATATATTCTTCGGAGTTGATGTAAAATTACCCGCATTCAGGAAAGACCCCGCCAACACTTCAAACTCCCTCATAAGAACGTTTTGAGTCATCTTCAACTTCTTCAATATAGAACATGCCAGTCCTATTCATTGGCTCAACTTCCCTGGCCTGAGAAAGAAGTGGAAACGACAAAATACCAGTTCTTATGAGCTATAGCTTTTACTGGTTATTCATCTTAAAATCTAGGTGTTAAATTTAAGGCTGAAGAGATAGGACAAATTGTGCCTCCAAATTCTAAATTTGTTACATTCCCCTTGTTAACATCCAATCAATTCTGTTCTACTTAATCCCTCTTTCTCTTTCATGGCCACATATCTTCAAGTTTATTCCAAGCTTGCAAACGTTCTTGATCAAACCAAGAAGTGAACAATTAATTCTTGATTCAATTGTCAAGGTTAGTACACTTGATGTGTATTCGATTCTTGGTTCGTCTATCAAGGTCATTCTATTGATCTTCAATGAAGTTTTGAGATAACTTCAGTTTCGATTTGAATGTGTTAATTTATCATTGTGTTGATCTTTATTTATTATTATTATTATTATTATTATTATTATTATTTTCACTCTGCCCTTTAGTGAAAGGTGTCAATTAACTTATTCTGAAAGATTTATCAATCACTTATGTTTCTTGTGTGGTCTACTGAGAAGGTTTAGACAACACCAGAAATAGCGCCAATTGTGATTTTTCTTGATGGAATTTTTCTATTAAAAATACTAATTAATGTATGCAATTTTATCGTATGACTACCAAATTAGTAGTCTCTTCTTAGTTCGCGCTGAATGCCTATCTGAATCCTCTCATCTCCATTGAAGCTTGGTTATAGCTTTGACTTTGTAGGAAAATTCGACCATGGATATACTCACTCAATTTTGGGGCTTGCGTGTACAAAATCTGAAAGTTTGGAGACTTTTATACAAAGTCGATGTGAACTTTAAATAAGTGAGGTGGTCGTCTAACCTCCACATTTCGATAAGGGCTCAAATTTTATGAAATTTATTCCAAAATGATTGAAAAGTGTGATCTGTCATAATCATCAATGGTACCAAACAAATATGAATATATATGATTTGAACAAAATTATCCCAATTATCGATATTGTCGATGTGATAGGATCCATAGAGGGCAACAAACTTACAAAGATTTAACTCAACTTCAAGATGAATCAATAATGAGATCGTGAGCAAATAGGATCGATGAAGCCATGCATTTGCTTATTTAAGCTACAGAAGCCAAGAGATTGAAGTTAACAAGTCAAACATCCAGTTTCATGTTGGACATAAATGCGGAAACAAATTGAATGCATTAGAATTAAGAAAATAAAATTGGAAGCTAGTTGGATAACTATGTTGTCGCATAGTATAAAAAGTGATGCTCTCGCATGTACTATTCCCAAAACAAAGAAGTGGAATTTCGGTTGTTCTATGCAGTTGCATAGTTCATTTTTTGGATGCGTTTTTTCAAATTTTCCTAAAAGTCTATTTTTAGTAGAACTCTTGTTATTGTATCTTTTTGATAGAATTCCGTTTTAATTTGGTTTTTATGGATTCTCTATAAATATGATTCATTATTTTCATTGTAAAAGGGGGAAGATATTTTTATTGAGAGAATTAATAAAATGAGATTTGCTTTCTTCTTATTCTTCATTGAATTTAATTTCGAATTTATCAAAGATTTCATCTTTGTGTCATTCAACAAATTCATAGCAAGATTCATAGTTTTTGTAATTAAGGGGTCAAGCTCTTTCACAACTTTAGTTCCTTGATTTGATAAATTATTAGGTCAAGTTTCAAATCAGAATTTTATGTTTCTTGGGTTCTTGGGTTTCGAGGTTACTATTGTTACGTGAGTTCACATCAATGATAGGATCCATGGAGGGCAACAAACTTACAAAGATT